GTAGTAGTAGTAGAGAGAGAGAGAGAGAGAGAGAGAGAGAGAGAAACTTTATACGAATATGTCTCGTTGAGTCTGATTTTGGTTCTTTGTGATCAGGTTGTTGCTGTCAAGCAACTTGACAGGAATGGCTTGCAAGGAAATCGTGAGTTCCTCGTGGAGGTTTTCATGCTCAGTTTACTTCACCATCCAAATCTTGTAAATCTCATTGGATATTGTGCAGATGGAGACCAAAGGCTTTTGGTATATGAGTACATGCCTTTGGGTTCTTTGGAAGATCACCTTCTTGGTATACCTTGACACCTTCTTATAGCCAGTCAGTTGAGTAATTGTTCGGTGATAAAATTGAATTGATTCAGAGGATATGTGACCTTGTGCAGATTTGTCACCGAATAAGAAGCCTTTGGAGTGGAATATTAGGATGAAAATAGCAGAGGGAGCTGCCAAAGGTCTGGAATACTTGCATGATACAGCCAACCCACCAATCATATACCGCGATTTCAAATCCTCAAATATTTTACTCGATGAAGATTACAATCCCAAGCTTTCTGATTTTGGGCTTGCAAAAGTTGGTCCAGTAGGAGATAAGAGTCATGTCTCCACAAGGGTCATGGGAACTTATGGATATTGTGCTCCAGAGTATGCAAGCACAGGTCGGTTGACTACAAAATCTGACGTATACAGTTTTGGGGTTGTACTACTTGAGATAATCACAGGCCGTCGAGCTATTGACAATGCAAAACCATCTAGTGAGCAGAATCTTGTTACTTGGGTAAGTTCTCTTAGCCTCATAGACAGTGAGCTACCTTAGAGCCATATCTTTACTGGGCTGACCTGTTACACACGCAGTAATGTTGATTCAGGCCGAGCTGGCCACTTTCCCTTCTGATGGTCTGTCTGGTTCTTAAAATTTTTTTCAGGAATTGTGATTTTATGTTAGCATATTATGTGCTGTTATATTTGTGAAGCCATTGCACGCAATGTCCAAATTCATATCAAAATTTGCCTTTTGGTGAGATACTGGTTCATGCTTCCTGAAATGCTTTTGATTGCCATCAAGTAGGATTGATTTTTCATGAAAGGGATACTAGAAACTTTCTACTTGTCAAAAGCTCAGAGGTAATTTATGCATACTATATTTATGAGAGAAAAATTGTGGAAATGGTAATACCTTGTTAATCGGTTCATACACTTTGTCCCTAAACTTGTTAAGAAAAAATTGGATGATGGAAGTTATAGGCATTCGAGTTTGTATATGAAAGTTCTGTATTAGGGAGAAGTACTGCAGTGAATTGTTTTTTTTTTTTTCCTTTATGTGCATCCAAGCATCCAATGGACAAATGCATGCGTAAGGGTAAATGTCAGAAAATGTGGTAGGAATAATTTATTACTTTATCAAGTACTTGAGCTGAATGTGCTGCAGAGAATTGCTGATGTGAATGCTAAAACACATTTAAGCAAAATGTTAGAGAAGACATTCGAAAGGAAATCAGTAGTAAAATTAGTGAAGCTGCAAGTCTTTGCAAAGAGAATATGGAAGTCTAAAAATGAGAATCTGAGAGCTTGTGAGGCTCTGTGAATCAAGTGATGGAGAATTTAGACCTTTCAATGGTGAAAAAATTTGGATAAAAAGGAATTATGTTGAGGCATGGGCCCCATGAATCGAGCATGTAAGGTTATCGAGGTAAGGATCATCAATTGTAGCTATGGTTGGAAATCTTTTTTTTCTAACTTTTATTTTTGGAATTCTATTATTTTATGTTGCTTCTATGGATGAAGTAATAGGGTCTTTACAGTCATATGAACAAAGGTTGAACTTAGAAGCCTGAAGTTTCACTGGAACATACCTTCGAAATGAAGTTTCATTCAAGTTTGTGTACAAAAGCACAGATTCTTAGAAAATGACGTGGAACTTTTGAAGAAGAAATGCACGTAAGGGAAATGATGAGTTGGAGATGAAATCAAGTTGCACATTGGGAATGTAGTAGCCACTTCTAGATTCCAAAGGAAGAGTACAGGCTATCTAGAGGGGTACACCTCATTGGTTAGACCAATCAAGTTTTAAATGCCAGACAAAGGATTTGGTTATTTTACAGCTGAATGTTGAAAGAAACAATATGTTGAAAATAACAAAAACCATGCAAATTGCAATGTTAAAATAGAGATAAAAGAAAATACTCATGGCCAAAGAAAGTCCAAAGTACATATGGTAATTGGATAGAACATGCATCAATTTTTTGTGTGGAAGAAAGGATGAAATTTTGGAGCTTAATAACTGCATTGAATCAGAAACGAGATTCCAATAGGGTTGGAAAACTTCACTCAAAGGCAGAGGTATTATTAATTTTTTTATCAAAGATGGCATTGATTAGAAGATTTGATATGTGCATTATGTACTCTATGCTGCAACTTGATGAGTTTGAATTGTCTTTGGAAAAATTGTTGTATGCATCGAACATGATATTTTATTGCAAAGTGGATTATGAGAGTACACAAAAAACTTTCCATGGATATGACTCATATGAGAAATTAGGAAGGCATAGACTTAGTGCCTGTGATGGTTGATGTTTCTTGTATCAGCGCTTAAGACTTGGTTCTTTGATATTCAGCAGTTTAACTTGGTGGAGCTAGAATATGTTGAGGTAGCATTTGAATGGATTAATTTGAAGAAACTGGTGAAGGATTAATTTTCGGAAACATCACAAGGATAAATCTTGTTTGAGAAACTCATTGAGGAATTTCCATCCTTAGGAACTTTTATATTTTGTATACGCGAGCCAATCTTCCTTCAGTAACTATGGGTACTTACGAAAATTTCTTTGATGATTTGGTAGAATGATTAGTTTTGTTTTGTTGAAGAAAATCACTAATTTTTTATTCTTCAACATATTCGTAGAAAAGCAAATGGAAGTGTTATGAAGGTGCATTTGATTTATGGTGGGAGAGGAGTATGCATCTGCCAATTATCTGAAATATTGTGAGGAAACTTATTCCGAAACTAGATATAATGCCATTATCATCATCATCATGTTGGGGCAGAAGTAGTGGCATGTTCACCATAGTTGTTTAATTGATGCCTAACAAGAATTGTGAAACATTTAGAGCATTTGGATGAATAACAGATACACAATAGTTTTGGAGGAGGAATAAGAAGTTGGATTGTTGTGGTAACATAAGTCAGTTCAATAAATAGTGACACGTATTTTTTTTATATTCTCAAATCCTCATGAGAATCACTTTTAGCATTCATGTGGAATTCTCTGAATGCAAGGCAAGGGCTCCAATAGCGACAAAGCGTTGCAGATGACCACATAGGTGGAGAGACTACTCTGAAAATATACAACTATATGTGACTCAGTTTCACCTATATGATCTTTGTGCGTTTGTGTGAATTCAGCATTACAATTTGTTTTGGATAAGTATTCGTGTAAGCTTATTATGTTTACTTTGGTGGACATTAGAAATGGGATATTTACCAAAAGTACCATTGCAATTTGTTGGGAAATTAACTTTCATGGAGTTGTTAATTTTCTTAGGTTGGTTCTACTTGTTATGACTCAGCACACATAGTAACATGGTTAACCAATGAATACCAGGATTAATGCTACATAAAGAAGCAATTCAAAGTAGTTGATCTACCCCATAGAAAGCAAGATTATAGCAAGCATTCTTCCGATCCTAATGGGCTATTAGACAATGTCCAAAGAACATGGAGATGTTGATAAATATCACCAGGTTGGCTGAAAATGTTATCAGTAAAAAGAATGAATTTGGTGTCATGAATTTGTGCCGATTGCAGAGGTTGATAAATATCACCAGGTTGGCTAAAAATGTTATCAGTAAAAAGAATGAATTTGGTGTCATGAATTTGTGCCGATTGCAGATGTTGAAATGCACTGATGAAAAGCCTGAAATATGCTATGAGCTTTGGCTGCATGCCAGAAATGGATTCACTTGTGTTAAACTGGTGGAATCCACATTGTTTGTTGGACTATTGTCAGCTTCAAGATTTAATCTTGAATGCTGGGCTACACCCAACTCTCTAGCTACCATGCAAAATGCATGAATCATCTACGTATGGACAGTATAACTAGAAAAATGCAATTCCATGCTTTTATATGGATTCTCTTACCTATTCTTTTGACTAATTGACTGCTTAAGTTTCTCGGAGAAATTAAGAAATCTGAGTTTGATATGCTGTAGTAGTTCAAGCCTTCAGGCAAATTGGAATTTTCATTTTATCATCAGTATTTATTCATGGGCTAGCTTTTTGTTATGTGGTATTTCACTGTATTTATTGAAAAGGCAGTGGAATTCAGCGGCACTATAATTAGTCCGTAAAATATCTGACTTTTGCCTTCATAATTCGTCATATGAACTCTGAGAATTAAAAAAATCAAGCTGGAGTTTATCTTTTTCTCTAATGCTTGTATTAATCATTTCTTTCACTGCTTAAACAGGTGCAACCATTATTCAAGGATCGTAGAAAGTTCCCCCAAATTGCTGATCCAATGCTTCAAGGGAGGTACCCACCAAGAGCCCTATACCAGGCACTTGCTGTTGCAGCCATGTGCCTTCAAGCTGAAGCCAGCACTCGCCCATTAATCAGCGATGTTGTTACTGCTCTTTACTACTTGGCATCTCAAACATTCGAACTGGATGGAAGCTCTTCTGATCCTCGTGATACACTTCCTCCCTCAACTGCTACAGCTGCTGAGAGCGATCATGGCAAGCATGTCAAAGAGAATCAAAATTTCGATTTAGAACCAGACACTAGTGGCATCAATAAGGAAGCCAGTCAAGAGTTTCATCCGTAAAAGGCAATGACGTGTATGGTGGAAACCAATTCATATGTTGGATTCCACCGGCTTTTTTCTAACTGTGGGTGATTTGTATATTTGTGAAATATGGAGATATTGGTGGTGTAAGTGTTACTGGCCAAGGGAAATGGAGTTCAAGGAGAGGGGTGCATTGGTCCATGCCCTCATTGCACCAACAAAACATGATTGGTGCAAAGAAGCTGGTTTTCGACCTATATTCCCCTGGGTTCTTCCTGGCTTGGAAAATGAGAGATGTGGATGACGTTTTTATTCTCTGATCCCCATTTATGCATCCATTGGTATGCGTTGGTGGAGGACTTGGGCCCTTTGCAGCAAATTACCATTTATGAAGGGAGGCCGGAATTCTCTCTCTCTCTCTCTCTCTCTGCTCCGGAAATCTAATCTCGGAAGCCTGTTGATATTATAGCCAACTGGGATTCTCCCCCTCCGCTTGTTTGCTACTTTTAAGCTTCTTCTTTCAGCCTTTATTCATCACTTGGAACCCATGCAATATGGGCGAGGAAATTTTCTCTTGATGTTTGAGAAACAAGTATTTAAGATCCGGGGTGATATATCATTTTGTGTTCTAATTCCTAGGAACATTATGAGAGTCCATTGGAAAAACCACCGTGGGTGAGAGACGCAAGTGTGTTGTATCAGTCTCTTCATTGCTATAACCAGCGTTTTCAAAACCTGGATCCGTAGGGTAGCTTGTCCATCCCACATATCCGTATCTAATCGTTGGATCGGTAAATTTGATTTGTCCAGATTAGTTTGAATTGGCAATTCAAAAAATATTTATAAATAAAAATAAAAAATAAAATAGGGTTTTATTGGGTGAGGAATTAAAGAAGACTTAAGAAAACATTTGATAAGATCAGAAAAAAAGAAAAAAAAATAAAATATTGCAAGCGGGGTCTTAGGGGGAAATTGGGTTGAGATTAATACCTTTTTAGAATTGAATTGGTATGGTCCACCTGATTCGGGTTTTAATTGGCTATCAGGATTTGGAATTACCGTGGTTTAAAGCATTGGTTAAAAACTAGTCTCCTATAGAAATTGATTACCTCTATTATCTTTGATGTGACCCCTTACATCTGATGGCGGAGATATTGAAAAAGCGTCATACTTTCCTCATGCCACCTCTCCTGCAACACTTCTTTGGGTTCTAAAGAAGATGAAATCTCAAAAATTGACTACACTCCTGTCTTCAAATCATCCAATTTTCCATGTATCCAAACTTTGCTCTTCATTCGGTCAACATCTCCATCAAAGAATCTCATATTCGTTCCGTTCAAATTTCCCACAAAATACCAGCCTTGAGAGCTTTTTAGATCAATCTCCTAACTTTCGGCACTAGAGGAATAGTATGTTGATCAACAATGTGTTGCACTTTTAGGCAATACCATGTAAGTTCCCAACTTGCGGCAAGCCTGCATCCAAATTTCGTGTGCCAATGGACACCATAAGAAGAGATGATCTCCATTCTCCTCATTTTCCTTGCAAAAAAAATTTACGGATTAAGAATATGTCCCATTTTCCTAATAGACTAGACAATAAAATTGATGGGCCATGTCCAAATTTTTTATAACTTTCCTCAAACTCCATCTATCTCATGAAATACTCCATCTATCCTATCTCATGAAATAGTCACATGTACTAGGATTTTGATAGAAAATATCCCCATTTCATTGGGTTATCCGAACTAATTCATCCTCCCTATTAGGATAATGTGAAGAAAGCAAGATGCTACAATACTGAAACAATCCGCTTCTCAATTAGTGTGATATTGTCACACTAACTCAAAACTCACAATCAAAGAGATAGAAGAAGAACAAATCAAGATGAGGTGGAAGAAGAACTTTCATTCAAACAATAATTAGTGTGACACTAGCCCAAGACTCACAATCAAAGAGATAGATGAAGAACAAATCAAGATGAGGTGGAAGAAGAACTTTCATCTAAACAATATGAAAACGGAGTACACAAAGAGATAGAAGAAGAACAAATCAAGATGAGGTAGAAGAACTTTCATTTAAACAGTATGAAAACAGAGTACACAAAGGCATTACTATCTTGACACCCAAGATAACCTTGATACATGTTACCCAATTTGTTTCACCACACAGCTCTCTTTTTAAGTATAAGTTCTTACAATCATATTTACTGTAATATTTTACCTATTTGCAACAATAACTACTAACCGCCTAGTAGTTCATAAACATCACTCATAATAAATAAAAACTAATAATTTCAAGAAAGTACACTAACAATTTCAACCGATAAAAGTAAAGCATTGTCTCCACAGCTCGTTATCATCCTGGGTGTCCATCACTGAGCAATGTTCAGTACATCTTTGTATGTGTGAGGATCTTTTATTGTTAAAACATTTGCCATGGTGGCCACAAACAGCGGACACGACTTCGTTTGGAGGTCAGCCACAAACTTTTGAGTCACACTCGTCTCTCTTCGTTTAGGGAAATGGACTCAATGAAATCATCATCAAAGATCGCAGCGATTGACATCAATACAGGCCCAAACACTCCACAATCTAACAACAAATTAAGAAGAGAGAGGTTCAACACCTCCATTTCTTGGACAAATAAATGGTATGCATGAAGGCCAGTGGTTTAAAAAATGGAGTGGTGCCCCGGATCGGGCACTATATAAACCCATTTGGATCGGTAAATCAACGTTTTCGTTTCTGAAATCGGTCGACTTCGACTTTAAAAAAAATTCAAAAAAATTATTAAAAATCAATATAAATATTGTTTTTTAATAATTCAATAAGAAATAAGGGTAATACATGAATAACTTTTTTTTTTTGCATCAATATGTGAATATTGAGATGTTTTTTCCCTGTATGAAGATTATTATCAAACATTTATTAAAACCTAACTAAATACAATATTATATATTGAAATTAGAATTATTGGTTTGTATTTTATTATTTTGTCATTATTTTACTATACAAATGAGAATAAATTTGAAATTTATCTTATAATATCATATTATTTAAAAAATCTAATTTACAACTATAACAAAAAAATAATACATTACATAATTTATAATATAAATAAATTAATAAATATAATATAATATTTTATTATCATTATAATTAGTATAATTATTAATTATAATATTATAATAAACGTGATTCAAAAAACAAAGATATGACCCTAACAAATAAATAAATCCAATGTATAATAATCAGTGTTGATAGAAATATAAAATTTAGTAACATAAAATTACAATCAGATTTTAATAAAAATTTAAAAAATAAATAAAGAAACTCATCTTTGTAATATGGGATAATTGATAAAGCAACTTGAAATAAATTCTAAAGTAGTATGAGCTAGTATTATTTTTCTCTCTTAAAATATCCCATAAACTAGTATTTTTTTTTTAATGTTCAATAAACCAGTATCAGTATCGTTTTTTGTTTTTTTAATATCCTATGAACTAGTACTAATTTTTTTAATTCCAATTAGTTAATAGCCTAATACTATTAGTCTTTTTTTTTGGATAAGTAAATTTAAATTTTTTGGTGAAGGATAGGGGTGGTGGGCCCTATCTACCAAATATTATTTTGAATAATTTTTCTCCTCTTTAAATTAATATTCCTAAAATTTTGTTAAAGGCCACCATGTTATAAAAGAAATTAATATAATTATGCCATTTATTTCTTGTAAAAAAAAATCTAACAAATACCAAATAGGTATTGATATATGAGAGAAAGAGAAAAGAACTAACACTTGACAAGGTAAATGGAATGAAATATCCCACATTGAACATGTAGAATACCTTTGACATGTATAAAACCCTCTTCATTAATACTCTCATGTGCACGTCTGGAAAGGGGCTTGTGTACTTGGGGCTCTTGAATAACAAGATAGGGGTACATGTCCCAAGCAAGACATGTTGACATTGTAGGACAAAGAAGCCCTTGTGGGATAGGGGCACTAGTGCTTGGGACACGTTACCCCCTATCTTGGCACTAGTGCTTGGGACACGTTGCCCCCACGATCCCACAAGGGACACATGCCCCTATCTTGTCTCTTTGTCCTACATATCCCTTACATGGCAACATGCCTTGCTAGGGACACATGCCCCTATCTTGTCTCTTTGTCCTACATATCCCTTACATGCCAACATGCCTTGCTTGGGACACATGCCCGTATCTTGTCTTTCACAAACCCCAAGAACAC